GGGACGCCGGCGGCGCGCCCGCGCCGGCGGACCTCCGCGCCGCGCTGGCCGCGGGCCACTGGACGCTGGCGTTCCGGGACGAGGCGGCGGCGGCGGCAGCGCTGGACCTGGTGCGGCGCTCGGCGCGGGGGCTGGGGGACGTGCAGGCGGGGAGGATGCGGCCCCTGCTGCTCCAGGCTGAGAGAGTGCCCTGATTTCCTCGTTCATCTGTTTGTTTGCGGGGTGTACGGAAGCGGGGAGGGCTTGAGGCGCCGCGCCAGCCCGAGCCCTCTTCGGTCACCCCGTCCACTCACGACGCTGACCCCCCCCGAACCATGTTTTGCCCGAATTGCCCCACCTCTCCAGTTGTCTGGACATGCGCCGCCCGGGAGCCGCTCCCATCCCCGGACGCCCCTCCCGATGCACGCTCCCCTGCCCTGCGCCGCAGCGCCCCTGACACTCGCGTCTGTCGTCACAGAACTCAGTGCCGATCGGGGTAGTCTTTCGTCACCACCCAGTGCGGCGGGGGTTGTCTGGCCCGCACGCCATTGGTACCAGGGACCTGCCCAGCCTCACACCCACTCCAGTGCACCATCACCAAACACGACCCACCCCCTCAGCGCTTGCGGGGAGGGGACTTGCCGCCACGCGCCCCGCCCTCAGCGTCGCGCTCGTCGTCGTCCACCGCCGACTTGCGGCCGCGCTTACGCGAGTCGGTCTCCTTCATCTGCATGGTGGCGATGCGCTGGGCCTCGCTCACACGCTCCAGCAGCACCAGCACCGCCTCCTGCTCCGCGGGGTAGGCCTCCAGCTTCATGTCGATCAGCGCCTCGATCTTCTGGTACAGCTCCACGTCGTACCTGGGGGGTGGGGGTGGGGGGAGAGGGGGTTGCCGAGCGGCCGGGCATGGGTGCATGCATGAGTGTTCAAGCATGAGGGAACCAAGGGGCCGACCGAAGGGCATGTGCAGGGGCCGCACGGGGGAAAGAAGATCCTGATGCAAGGGACCTCTCAGGAATACCGGAGGGCAGGCCTGCACAGGCAACCCCGCCCCGCTTCCCTTCCCCCTCGGCCCCCTAACACCTCCCCACTATTCCACCAGCACTCACTGCGTGACCAGGGTGACGGCGCGCCCGGAGCGACCTGCACGGGCGGTGCGCCCCACACGGTGCACGTAGTCCTTACCGTTGACGGGGACGTCGTAGTTGAGCACAAAGTCGACGGAGGGGATGTCCAGGCCGCGGGATGCCACGTCCGTGGCCACCAGGATGCTCCGCTCCCCGGCCTGTCGGTCCATGGCGGGTCGGGGGATCTCGGCAAGCCCAGGGGCATGGGCAGTGCATGACGCAGCAGCGCCGTCAGGTCACCCCTCAAACTCAGCACCCCCACCACCCCTCCCCACACCTTGAACTTGTTCATGGCCGCCAGGCGCTTGGGCTGGCTCATCTGGCCGTGGATGGGCACGCCGCCGAAGCCCAGGTTGCGCAGCATCAGCGCGATGCGCCGCGTGGTGTCGCAGGTCCGCGTGAAGATGATGGTGCTCGCGCCGGCAAGCTCTGTGTTGGGGTGTCGGTTGGCGGGGGTGGGGGGGACTGGAGGGGCGGGGGTCCGGCAGGCTACGCTTGGGGGAAGGGGCAGTCTGGGGGGGGCCATGGGGACTGCATAGGGATTTCCTCCTGCGCATGATCCACCTGCTAGCATCGGCATCCCGGACGTGCAGATGCACCCTCCAGTCCCACCCTCTCCCACTCCTTCGAGCCATCTGAAGCATGCAGCACCCCCCCTCCCCAACCACAAGTGAAAACCGCCATCCCCGCACCTGTGAGGAGGAAGACGAGGTAGCAGTCCTTATACTTGGCCGGCACAAACATGTATTCCTGGCGTAGGGTGGCGACCGTGGTGTTCTTGGCCGCCACCTCCACCTTGACGGGGTTGCGCAGGCAGGCGCGCTGCAGCTTTGCCACCTTGCTGGTCATCGTGGCGGAGAAAAGCTGCGTGCGCCGCTCCTGTGTGGTGTGTGTGTGTGTGTGTGTGAGGAGGAGGGCGGTGCGAGCGCTAGGTTTCTCCTTGCTGAGTCCCCGTGCCGGGAACCAGTGCACATGAATAATGTCGAGAGCAAAGGAGCCGAGAAGAGCTTGAACCAATCAGCTCTGTTGCCAGGCTCTGCCTGCGAACCCCATGCCTCACCTCCTTGAGCTCTGAATCCTCCCCCCCAGAAAGCATACTATAAGACACACCGACACCCACCCTCGGGATGGCCTTCAGGATGGTGTCGATCTCCTGCTCAAAGTCCATGTTGAGCAGGCGGTCGGCTTCGTCCAGCACCAGGTGCTTCAGCGCCCGCAGGGAGAAGCCCTTGGTGTTTGTCAGGTGGTCAACCACCCGCCCAGGCGTGCCCACCACCACATGCGGGCGCCGGGCGAGGGCGATGGCCTGCGCCATCATGTCGATGCCGCCAACCAGCACCGCAGCCCGCACCCCGATGCCGGCGCCCAGGGCCTCAAACTGCTCGGAGATCTGGATGGCCAGCTCGCGGGTGGGGGACAGGACCAGTGCAAAGAAGGGCTGCGGCGTGTCCAGCAATTGCTGTGTAATTGGAGGCATGAGAGGGGAAAGTTTGAGGATGCACATTGAGGATTGAGGATACCCTGGTCCTCCAGCAGGTCAGCCCACCAGCAGCAGTGTCCCCACACAATGGGCTGCATTGACACCATCCTATACCTCCCACTCAAAGCACACTGCAGAAGTACCTGGAGGATGGGCAGGGCAAAGGCCCCTGTCTTCCCAGACCCGGTCTGCGCCAGTCCGATGACGTCCTGGCCTGCACGGCGGCATGTTTATGAGTTCAAGTCCATGATACAAGGCAAGACGCTCTAGCTGCTCATGCAATTCGAGCCTGATGCCATGCCGCTTCACCCAGTGCACCTTTCAGGACGAGTGGGACAGCCTGGGTCTGGATTTCGGACGGCTCCTTCCACCCCAGTCCCGCTGCAGACTCAGCCAGCTGCGTGCATATCCCTAGGGCCTCGAAGGCCTTCACCGCTGCCGCCTGGCGAGCGTCGCCGCGCTCGTTGGCGAGCTCGGCAGCCATCCTTGGGTGAGGGCGCGACACCCGAGCAATGTGTCACGGCGAGGGAGTAACACAGGTATTAGAGTTCCTAAGATAGCTTCTGATATATTTGCACATGTTGGTGTGTCCATGCATGCAGAGGAGGGAGAGGGCTGCACCATGAGGGTTCCGGGCGCTAGCGCCACGTGGGAGGGTTCCGTGTTTGATCAGTTCAGTCCGCCCGACAACTCTCACGAAAATCCTCATTCTGGACTCAGACTGTGCGACATCACGACCGTGCATGGCTCAGTCAAGACCGCAGATAATGTGGGCAGTGGCTCGAAGAGGACCCCTCTGATCTGAGGATTGAACCAGTCGTCATGGAAAGCCCCTCCATCCCACAGGCGAGCATCCGGGACTTTCGAGAGTCAGGAAGGAGAACATGCCATGCAAGACCGACAATGGGGCAAACTTATCAAGCAGCCCCTGTCAAATGATGTGCTCATCGTTGCCTGCAGGACAAGGCCACCGCACGACTGTACGAAGCGGGGACTGGAGGTAATGGCAAGGTCTTGCATGGTGCAAGCCCGGCCACCCGCTCAGGAGAAGTGTCAACCACAGGACTCCACGATGTGAGACACTTGAAGTCGGATTTGGAAGATAACACTGAAATCATTCAACCTCTTGCATGGAGAATGTCCACCATATAAACCTGAAAATTATGCTTGGTACGCCTTACTTCTCCCACGGCAGGAGGCTCTTGGAGTGCGCGACCCAGGCACGCCCGACATGCCGGCATGGCTTCGAGATGTACAGGCACGTGACTGGGAAGGGATGCAGAGACCCAGTTTATATTGCGGTTGTACCTTGAATCACTGGAAGCTTTGGAGATCTCTTTGAGGATCCCCACCCTTCCTACTGCATCACTCCCTCCCACCAGAAACACATCCAAACACATGGCGAGGGTATGGTGGAGCTGAACGGCACTACCCTGGGGGAGGAAAGCCCCAGCCAGGCGAGTATGGACGCCGCGCTTTCCTCGCTGCGCGATGCGATGCAGGCCGTGGGCGCAGAGGCCAGGGTGCTACGATCCCGCCCCGCCACGCGCGACTCCCGCGCCTCCACCGACGTCTGGGTGCGCTGCCGGCCGGGGGAGGGGGAGGTACTGGAGGTGCACGTGGCGGTGATCGGGAACGTGGACAGCGGCAAGAGCACACTGGTAGGGGTGCTGACGCACGCCGCGCTGGACGACGGCAGGGGCAGCGCCCGCGCCCGCGTCTTCACGCACGGCCACGAGCAGAGCACCGGTGGGCAAGGGGATTTTTGTTGGAGATGCATTTGATGGAGGGCCCCACATCAGGATTGGAGTGGGCATTGGGCCTTGCCTGTAAATCCTTGGCATTGTGACCCCACTCATTTGGGACCCTCATGGCCATTGTGCAGGCCGCACATCGTCCATAGGGCAGCACAGCATATGCTTGGACGCGAGCGGTACTTTCCTGAACGACGCCCAGTACCGCCCTTCCACGGCCTCAGACTATGTCGCTCGCGCCGCCAAGGTGAGTAAGCTATGGGGTGGGCTCGAGGTCGGGTGCTTGATATGCTGTCGAGTTCATTGAGCTCGGCGGAGCGGGACTCTCCAGTAAGGCACGACTTCATTGTTTTTGCTGGTGGCGATACCTCCCAGGGGCTGATGAGCTTGCCCCGCAAGCGCGGGGTTGCGTATGTAGCCGTCCTGATTCAGGCAGATGGCAAGGGACTGCTTCGTCCCCAGTACAGTTCTGGAGCCTCTCGCAAGTTCTGCCTTCCAATTCCCCCCTTTCCCGCCCAGATCATCACGCTGGTGGACCTGGCCGGGCACACCAAGTACTTCAAGACGACGGCGTCGGGTCTGACAGGACACCTGCCCGACTACGCTGCGGTGGTCATAGGGGCCAACGCCGGGGTCATCGGCATGTGCAAGGAGCACCTGGGGGTGGCGCTGGCCCTCCAGATCCCCACCTTCTTTGTCGTCACAAAAGTGAGTCATGTGATCCCGTGGGATCGCTGGTGGCAGCTGGTGTCACCGAGGAGCCCTGCTGAACTGCACCCTGCAAACTTGCCAATGTTCTTCCAGGGACATCAACACAGATCAGCAATGGTCAGGGGTGAATGCCTGGCTGCACTCGCCTCGACGTGCTTGCGCTGCAAAGATCACCCCCCCGCAACCCTCCTCGACACCAAGGTGGACCTTGCGCCTGCGCATGTGGCAAAGCACAGCCTGGAGACGCTCACCACCATCCTCAAGCACCCCAGCATACGCAAGAAGCCCTTCATGGTGAGGGACGAATGATGACCCCTTTTTGAGAGTGGGCCCGCCAGACCCCGCAACCGCCTGGTGTCATGCTCGCTTTCTACACGAGGCCCCCGTTGCATCGGGGCCACCCGCGCTCTCCCCGACCACACACCACTCCAGATCAGGAGCATGGATGACGTCATCACATGCGCCAAGCACCTGCACACTTCCAACCTGGCACCCATCTTCGTGACCTCCTGCGTCTCTGGCGCGGGCCTGGACCTCATCCGCACCTTCCTGGACCTCCTGCCACAAAGACACCAGTGGTGGGCATGGGGTTGATGGGGAGGCTTGGGTCTTGGAGTCAGAACCTGATCCAGCTGTCCCCGCCAGTCTTCCCCCACCGCCTCCCTGCCTGCCTCTCTCGGCAGGTCCACCAAGCGTGCGGAAGGGGCGCAGTTCATGATCAACGAGGTGTTTGGGGTGCCCGGCGTCGGGACAGTGGTGTCCGGGACCGTGCGCTCCGGCGTCATCGTGCCCGGCTCAGTGCTGGCCCTCGGGCCCGACGTGTCCGACGGCACCTTCAAGCCCTGCGCCGTGAAGAGCGTCCACTTCAAACGGCTCCCAGTCGACCATGTGCGCTGGGGCTTGGGGGGCTGCAGTGAGGGTGGTGGATTGTTGGAGTGCATTGGTAATGGACGAGGGAAGGCTGGCAACTTGTTGCCCCCTCGCCTGAACACTCCTGGCACATTTGCATGTTGCCTGAGCTCCCTCTTCTTTCGACATCACCTCCCCCTGACGCCCCCCCAACCTCATGCTCCAACACCAACAGGTGGTGGCAGGCCAGACCGCTTCCCTGGCACTGAAGAAGGTCAAGCGCAGCGGCGTGCGGAGGGGCATGATCCTGGCCGACCCCGGCCTGCACTGCAGCGCCGGCTGGGAGTTTGAGGCCGAGATCGCCGTGCTCACGCACTCCACCACCATCCAGACCCGGTACCAGGTGTGAGCGAGGGTGCATGAAGAAAGGGGGACCTGATGCGCCGAGTGGGGAAAGTTCAGGGCGGGTCCGGGCTGAGGGTCCAATCTTGCCGCATCCTCCTCTGCAAGACAGCAAACTACTGGTCCCCTGGTGCATTCGAGAGCAGAAACCTTCCTGACGCTCCATCCACCCTCCCACCCTGCACCCTTGCGCCCCCTCCCAAAGGCCGTCATCCACTGCGAGGCGGTGCGCCAGTCGGCCCAGGTCGTGGGCATGGACAGGGACCGGCTGCGGTCTGGGGACCGGGCCACCGTGCGCTTCCGCTTCCTGCAGCACCCCGAATACTTGACCCCGGGGGCCCGTTTCGTGTTCCGGGAGGGCAAGACCAAGGGCGTGGGCCGGGTGGTGGGCTTCGCGGATGAGAAGCGCAAGGCGTAGTGGGGAGCACTGCTGGGCCCTCAGGCTTCTGAAGGGTGTGGGCGCCCCTGGAACCTTGCCCCTTGCGTCGCTCCCTGCCAGACATTTGGCGCAATGAACCATGATTGCAAACATGTAATACCCCTGTCTGTCGCCGACGCCTACCTGTTGCCCAGTGTGAATCTCCTGGACCTCTCGGTCACCACCACCACCTGTATACCTCCCTTCCCCATGGGCAGTGCCAGCAAGACTGCATCCCCGTGTGCATACATGAAATTCTACAGGGGCAGGGAAGACTTGATGATCACGCGCATGCAAGGAGCCTTGAATGGCATTCATCGCAGGAGCGGCTTGGGGGGCTGGCCTGCAATGTTGGGAGGAGGTCCTCGGGGGACACTCTGCGGCGCAACCGCTCCATGCTGCACACCTCATGTAACCCCCAGCAACCCGTCACTCCGCGTCACATGGCGCCCTCGGCCTCCGCGACCCACACCGGCAGCTGCTGCGCGGCCCGGCGCGCGCGCGCGGCCTGGATGGCGCGCGCCGCGCTCTCCGCGTCGGAAGGGTCCAGCCCCGGCCCGTCGCGTGCGATGACGGCGGCGGCGGCGCGCGCCGCGGCTTCCCCCATCCCCGCCAGCCCGCCGTGGTCCAGGAAGCCGAGCAGCAGGCCCGCCGCGTAGGCGTCGCCCGCGCCGCAGGTGTCCACCGGCGGCCGCCGGCTCCAGGGCGGCGGAACGGTGATGGCCGCGCCCAGGGCCGCGATGCACGAACCCGCGCTGCCGTCGGTCACCGACACCAGGCCCGCCAGGGGGGCCAGGGCCAGCGCGGCGGCGCGGGCGGGCAGGTCCTGGCTCGGCGCGCAGGCCGCGCCGTCCTCAGACGCCAGCGCCCAGGCCTCGGCGGCGTTGGCGAAGAGCAGATCCGCGCCGTGGCGCGCCAGGCAGGCGCGCACCGGCTCGCGGTTCCGCGAGATGACCCCGGCGTCGCCCGAGGTCAGCGCGATGAGCGTCCCGGCCTCGCGCGCGATGCCCATCGCCTGCAGGTTGGGTGAGTGGATTGGTGGGCATGGCTGGGAATGCAGGGATATGACGCTGGGGGAGAGGGGCTCCCTCCTCTACGAGAAGTCTCCACGTATTCAACATGAGAGCTCGTGCTCTTCCTAGCCTCCCTGCAGTCTCCCACTGACAATCGCAGCAAAGACCGGTGGACTTCAGCTCACTATACCCAGTTACCCACAACCCCGCTCTCGACGGCGACTACCCACCTGGTCGATGGCTGCCGCGGCGCCGGGCATCTCCCACAGGTAACCCTCGATGACCAGCAGTCGGCTGCGGCGGATGGCGCGCGCGAACCCGTCGCTCACCTCCAGCGCCGGGATGTGGCCGAGGTAGGACAGCATGGTGCGCTGCGCGTCCTCCCCCGTCAGCACGATCACTGTGCCCGTGCTGGAGCCCGGCGAGGGGTCGCCCACCAGGCCCAGCCCCGCGCCGCGCAGCGAGGCAGCATAAAAGGCGCCCAGCGAGTCGGAGCCGAGCAGCGGGGCCATGCCCACGCGCAGGGGCGGGCGGCCATGCAGGCGTGCAGAGGCGTCGGAGAGCCGGGCCAGGGCCAGCAGGGTGTTGGAAAGGGAGCCCGCGGCGTGCACCGCATACCCGCCCTCACTGAGCTGCGAGAGGAGGGAGGTGCGCCGGCCCAGGTCGATCAGCCTGTTTGTTTGAGGAGGAGAAAACAACATGAGATGGCCGGGCAGGAGGGTGAACATGTCAGGGCGTCATGCAGACCTTTGGAAGAGGTACAGAACCATTGATATGGGTAAAGGCAGGCCACATGCACACGAACCCTCCACCAAAACAAGCCACCAACCTGCGCTCGCCGCTCTGCACCCCCAGCTCCTCCAGGTACTCGCTGCTGGCGTGGGCGGAAAAGTCCACCATGGCCTGGCCCCAGCCCAGCACATCAAACTCCTTGTGCTCGGGAGCGGCAAAGTCGCCCGTGTCAGCTGCGGTGGCCAGCAAGGGGTGGAAGGCCGACAGCGGGGGCAGGGTGTGCCGGTGCGCGACCATGCATGTTCGCGGGGCCCGCTCGCCATCGCGAGCACCATGCTGGTGCCGCCATGCGTGTGCTTGGGGCCTGGGCGGGCGCAGAGAGTGGGAGAAGGCGGCGCTGTTGCCCTGCACCACGGTCGGCCTCACGGACGCCGTCGCCATGCTGCTCGAGGAAGTCACCTCACCATACCCTCCGAGGAGAAGGAAGGTATTCTTATGGTAAGAAGCTTTAAGTGGGGTGTCTTACGGTGGGGGCGCACCGGCCGAGGGCAAAAGACATGTGTTGTGGACAGAACGTGGCGTTATCTTGGTTGTCGGAGAAGCTGGGCGCCCTGAAATTACGTAAGATCATGTCACGTTAGTCTTGACCTCACGCATCAGACTGTCCCAAGAAGGGGGTTGTTTGAGAATCGATACCATCCTCACTTCCCACCGACAATTTCTCCCGTATCTTGGCCCCTTCTGACCATGGCCTTGTCGCTGGTCCTTTAAAAACAGGTGCAAGCCATCTACCTGCCCGCCGCCATAATGAGACGCCGGCGTGGGGGGATCCAAGGGGCTGGCTGGAGCATGAAGTGCCAGGGGCATGGGTTCATAGGATCAGAAAGAAGGGGTTTGTACACAAGACGATCATTGCTAGCAAGGGGTTGGGGTGCCAGATGGGTTTCAAGGCCAGGCCAGGGCTGTTTCAGCCCGACCGACTGTTTGTTTCTACCAGTCGCTCTCGAGCGCGCGGGTGGGTCGCCGCTCGTGCCTCCGTTCACAACGCTCGGCGCCGTTGGCGCACGCTCCTGCGCTCCACTCACGCTTTCTTCCCCGCCTCGGCGCCGGCCAGGTGCTCTGACAGGCCCAGCAGCGGCGCCACGCGCAGGGACATGCGCTCCTCTGCCTCCGCCTGACTCAGCGCGGTCTTGGCGTCTGCCAGGATGCCCTGGAGGCGGCGGCACCGGCCCCTCTTCTTCTGGGTGCCCTGCGAGGAGCGTGTGTGTTTGTTGGGGTTGACGGGTGGCACTCGAAGGCTGCTGACCGCCCTCGCGGCGGTGAAGAGGCTGGCCGTGATCTGGTGGTGGACCACGATCATACCCGCCCGTCTCCGCGAAAGGCGGCTTGGCCCCAGTGCCTGGCTTGCAACCCGAGCATCCCGGTGCCACCAACCACCCCCATCCCATCCACATGCGCAATCTCACCTTGAGGTGGCGGCAGACCCACATGAGGTACTTCACGCCCTCCAGGTCCAGCGGCTTGGAGACGAGGAGGGCGGTGCAGAGCATCTCCAGGATGTATAGCACCTCGTCGCGCGAGCACAGCTCCGGCTTGGGCGGGCAGGGCGCAAAGGTGTCGGAGCAGAAGCCCTCCGACCCCTCCCCCGGGTCGCTGTCGGCGCTGGGCAGGAAGCGCGTCATCAGGCCCGGGCAGGGGCCCCCCTCCTGCGCCGCCGGCTCCAGCGGCAGCGGGCGCATGAGGAATAGCGAGTCTGTGGATGTGTTGTGGCGGTGATGGGGTGCAGATGAGTTGTAAGGGGTGAGGGGCCATGAAGAATGTCAGGAGGCAAAACATAGTTTCTCGTACTCAGCGCCTCTCTCAGGGATGCAGGGGTGGGAGGAAGCCCGCCCCCATGGATCAGCATCAACATGCACCCTGGAAATAAACCCGGCCGCTCTCGTGACAGGGCGGGGCACGGCAGCCATTCCTGCCCTCCTCACCCACCCCTTGTGCCTTGCCATGCCCACCCCACAAGCAAGCTGTCCCCCGCTCCACCAACCCCGCTCCCGCCTGCGCCTCAGAACCTCTTTCCCCTCCCCACTCAGATCATGACCCATCCAGGACTCATCCACCCCCAAAGACCAACCCACCGTGGTCCAGCATGGCCACGCGGCGCTCGAAGGCGACGTGCACCGGCTCCGGGGAGTAGCCCAGGCAGGCGCGGAGGAGGCGGGAGCGGGGCCGCCAGTCCATGGCCAGGCGCCGGCGCCAGCGCACCTGCGACAGGTAGGCCTCCTCCCAGGGCAGCGCCACGCGCGCCAGCGCCAGGCCGCGCAGGCAGTGCACCATGCACTGCGTGGTCCCCTCGCGCGTGATGCCCGCGCCCCAGCCCATGGCCGCCATGCAGCGCTCCCAGTGGATGCGGCGCGGGCGGGGCACCACCGGCAGGCCGCCGCCGCGGTCGCCGCCGGCGATCATCCACACGCTGCGCGTGTGTGTTGCAAAGTAGCGGTCCAGCACCTCTGCCACGTCCTGCGCCTTTTGCAGAAGGTTGAGCGCCTCGGCGGGCGTGCCCGCGTCCACGGCCGCCACGCCCGCGCGCTCCCAGTACTCCATGGCCTTGAGCGCGCGTGGCCACTGCGCCACCTCAAGCCCCGCGCACGATTCCAGCCAGTGGTAGGCGATGGTGGAGGGGGGGAGGGGCAGGTCGGGGGGCCAGGCGCTCCATGGCCGCCGCCAGCCGCCCGTGCCAGTCGCGCCGCTGGGTGATGGGGATCATGTCGAACACCACGTCCCGCGCCAGCACCTGGCAGAAGCGCCACAGGTTCTCGTCGACCTCGTCCTGCTGAACGAAGCGCTGGGACTGGAGGTAGTCCAAGCCCGCAAGCACCGACTCCAGGCTCGGCGACTGCGGGTGCGCCGCCTGCGTGCGGGGTCGTGGTTGGCAGAGAGGGGTGTGAGGTGGGGGTGGGGTGGTCGAGGCGAAGGGGATGGTGTGTAGACGATGGGAGGGAGCAGGGGAGCATGTGGCCCTCTGCGCAGCATGTCCAGGACCCAGGCTACCTGCATGGCCACCAAGCCTTGCGATGCCCTCCCCCCCGCCCCCCCTCCCTGGCCCCAAGCCCCCTCCCAGGAACCAGCGACCGTGCCTGAAGGAGGTCGACGTAGATGGTGAGCCCCCCCACCGACGCCACCTTCAGCAGCAGCGCGTACTCCGGCGCCAGGCGGTCCACCCTGTCCTGTATGATGGAGTGGATGCCCACGGTGTTGCGGATGAACTCCATGCCGTGCGACACCAGCTGGAAGGTGCTGGGCCCCGATTCCGCGGGCGCGCCCGTGGCCAGCGCGGCCGCCGCCACGCGGCTGTAGTACTGCAGGAACACCACAAACTGCTCCAGGAAGGCTGGGTGCCCGCTGGACTTCTCCCACAGCATGGCGGTGACGTGGTCGGGCACGCGGATGCCCGCCAGGGCCTGCGCCACGAACTCGCGCGTCTCGGCCGCGCTCAGCGGCGCCAGCTGCAGGTGCAGCGTGGTGGGCTCCCGCAGCAGGCGGTTGTAGGCCTCGCGCACCTTGCGCAGGAGCACCGCCTTGCGGTCCTGCCCGCGCAGACTGGCGGCGGGCTGAGCAAAACCGGGGCGCAGCGTGGCCAGGAAGAGCACCGAGCGCGGCAGCTCCTTAGAGGCCAGCCAGAAGAGGACCCAGGAGGCGGTGTCAAAGTAGTGCACGTCCTCCAGGATGACCACCAGCGGACCGTAGGCCGCCGCAAACTCGCGCAGGATGTCGACGAGGAGGAACTGGAGCTGGCGCGTCTGCGTGGTGTGTGTGTGTGTGGTGTGGTGGGTGGGGGGGGGATGTCGTGAGCCAACGATATGGAACTTAAAAGGGTGGGTGGATACTCTTCAGGAGCACAGTAACACACCAAGGCATCCTCTGCCACCCCACCTTGTGGTGGGGGTTCATGTCCTGCACCGCGCCGCTGGCGGGCGTGGCGGAGATGCCCGGCACGCCCGCGCCGAGGTTGGGCATGTATGTCGCGTGCCCGTGCAGGCGCGCGCCCGCCCCCAGGTCGCTGCCCTCCGACCCGGCGCCCTCCAGGCTGTCCGCCTCCTCGTCGCTGGGCAGGGGGGGGTGAGCGTTACCCACGGAGAGCGGCGCGCCGAAGCCGGCGCCGGCGCCGGCGCGCGGCGGCCCGGCCAGGGGCCCGCCGGGCGAGCCGGGCGAGTCGCCCGCGCCCACGCCCTGAGACTCCAGCAGCGCGCTGTAGCCGCTGCTCAGCTGCAGCGCAGCGATGGAGATGGAGCGGCGGGAGGCCACGGGCGCCGGCCCGCGCGCCGCGGCCCCCTCGTCGTCGCTAGCCGTCGCGCGCGCGGCGTCGGCGCGCGCGGAGAGCGCGTCGGCGTCGCGGCGCCCTGCGCCGGCCGGCAGCACGGCCGGTAGCGCCTCGGCCGGCAGGCCCAGCGCCTCGGCCAACGCGGCGTGCCAGAGCGCGTAGCGCGGCACCGCCATCGCCAGGCGCTCCGCCAGGGGTGTGCGCACGGCGCCGGCGGCGGCACCCTCCGCTCCGCCCCGCTGCGCCGCGCCCGCCGCCGCCCCCGCCGCGGCGTCGTGGAGGAAGAGCGCGGCGGCGACACGGCGCCAGGCGTAGAGCGCGCAGGTGCGACGCTCGACCAGCGCGCGGCCTGCGGCAACGCAGACGCCGCCGGCCACGCCCGCGGCCAGGCCCTCCTGGATCTCCGCGGCCAGCCGCGTCTTGCCCATGCCGTGCTCGCCCTCGATCAGCACCACGCCGCCCTGGCGGTCGCGCACCAGCGCGCGCGCGCGCGCGTACACGATCTCCAGCTCCCGCCGGCGGCCGACCAGCGGCCGCACCTCGGCGGCCGCGGGCAGGATGGACAGCGGCAGCGGCAGGCTGCCCGCGCGGCGCAGGGCCGATGCCGGCGCAGGCGCCGAGGAGGACGCGGCGCTGGGGCGCGGCACGGCGTCGCCGGCCTCCTCGGAGGCCACGCTCTCTGGCGGCGGCGCCGAGCGGATGGCACGCATGAAGGAGTCATCCCCGGCGTAGCTGGCTCCCGAGGGGGCCACAGCGTTTGGAAGCCTCACGCCGCCGCCGCTGCCGGACGAAGAAGAGATCGGCGCGAAGACGTTGACCGCGTCCACGCGCCCCTTCACAAAGATGGGGGCCAGCTCGCGGAAGGCGACGCGCATGCGCGCCTGGACGTACGTGGGGCGGTCCACCAGCACCTCGCCCAGGCCGTCGCGTGCGCGGCACATGAGCCGCGCCGACAGGTTGATGGAGTCGCCGAAGAGGGTGTACTCCGCGCGGCGCTGGCTGCCCACCAGCGTGGAGAAGAGCTGGCCGGAGGTGACGCCGATGTGCGTGGCCAAGCCGTGGCGGCGCAGCCCCGCCGCGATGGAAAGTGCGGCCTGCACGCCCCGCACCGCACGGTCCTCGTGCGAGTTGCCCGGCAGGCCAAAGGCGCAGATGGCCAGGAAGCCCTTCTCGTCGCACCGCATCTGCAGCAGGCAGCCGTCGTACTGGCGCATGCGCCGCTGGACCACCTCCAGGGTGCGCTGCACGCACGCGATCTCCTCCTCCTCGCTCAGGGGGGGGGGCGTGGCGGCGCGGGAGGCGGCCGCGGCGGGGCACCTCGATGCTGCGCCGACGTCTGCAGGCCTGTCGTTTGTGCCGCCCGAGCCGCCTGCGCTGGCACTGCCGCTGGCGGTCGTGGCCGACGCGTCTCCACCGGCCGACGCGTCTCCACCGGCCGACGCGTCTCCACCGGCCGACGCGTCGCCGCCGGCCGACGCGCCCCTCTCGCCGCCCTCCCGCTGGAGGGCCTCCGATGCGCTGCCGCTGCCGCCGTCCCCGCCCCGCGCGTCGCTGCGTGTGCTGGGGTTGTCCTCGGGGTCGTACGGCGCTATTTCCGCGCCGCGGCTGCTCGGGCGCGGCGCGGCGCCGTTTGGCTGCATGTCTACCGACGCCGCCGGGTGGCCGGCCGACGGCGAGGAGCCCTGCTCCATGGAGCTCCCCGGCGCCCTTCCTCCCAACCCCTGCCCCTGCGCCAGCTCCGGCGAGCGTGCCAACGACACCGGCAGCGGCTTGGATAGGCCCGGGAAGCCGAGGAAGAGCACGGTGCAGAGCCGCGTCTCGTTGATGTAGTCGATGTGCCCTGCCTCCACCCGCTGCCGCACGTTCTGGGGGACATGCATGCGCATGATCTGCAAGGGGTGGGGGTGGGGTATGTGGCAGGCAATCCAGGATGTACGGGTCGGGGTGCTGGACGCACAGTTCCCGGGCCTGCCCTGCGACGAGTCGTCCAAGACCAGGGCCCTGCAGAGCACATCATTCCCAGGGGCGCAGCACAGTCGCACTGTGCCCATGCAGCCGAGAGCCGCCCCTCCCTCCTGCACAGTGCAGTCCAGCCCCTGTGATATCCTGAAGGTGGCACCCCCTCCCTTTGCATCACACCGCCCGCCCACCTGCAGCGCCCGAATGCGCTGCATGGGGGGCAGGTATGCCAGCGCGGCGGCGTCCGCGCTGGGCGTGGACTGCACCGGCGCGTAGCAGGCCGTGGGCTCGCCCTCGTCGTCCAGGGGCATGACCGGGTCGGACCCCGGCGCCACCAGCCGATGCGTGCCCTCATCCAGCCGCTCCAACGAGCATTTCGTGCGCAGCAGGAGGGCCGCCTCGTCCGACAGCACGGTCTCACCTGGTGGTGCGTCGGGTTGGTGTTGGTGTCGAGCAGGAGGGAGCAGATCGTCGACGGAGCGACCACCAGACCAGCGGAATGCACAGCCGGTACGTCCCCCGGTTCGCTTCCCCAGGGAACAAAGGGGCCACGGTCTGCAGGCCCGTGCTCCATGGCCCAGCGTCGCACAGGAGCATCTGGTCCTCGGACCCCCACACTCGCCCCCCGTTCTGTCGAACCTCCCGATGAATCAAGGGATCACTCCCATGTCATCCCTCCCCCCTTCCCTCACACACCCGACGCGGCGTGCTTCTCGATCTCGGCCAGCTGGGCGATGGGCTGGCGCGTGCGCCGCGAGGCCGCGTGCGGCGCGTCGCCCATGAAGAAGTCCCAGCGCGGCGCGCCCACGCCGTCCTCCTCCCCCGGCTCCAGCCCGCCGCCGACGTGGAAGAGGCAGACGGTGCCGGCGGAGATGAGCATCTTCATGCTGAGCAGGACCTTGTCGCGTGGGCGGCGCGTGCGCGGAGGACGCGCCGGCCACCGCG